CTCCTTCCTTCCTTCCTTCCTTTCTTTCATCCTTCTTTTTTTTTTCCTCAAGCTTTAAATACTGTCCCCAGTTAAAATTTCTACTTTCTCAGTCCAGAGCTATGGCTCAGGGCAATCCAAGGATTGGTGGACGAAAGAGGGATGAGGAGTTGCTATGACACAGACACACAGCTTCTTGCTTGTTCTTCTCTTTGCCTTGAGCATGAGTCCCAGGAGTTGAGGCCACTTCCTGGCTTAGACACTTATTAAAATATTTTATGTAGAAAATACAAGCACGCCTACAGTCAAATGAGCCGCTTGCATCCTACCGAGGATAGGCTGCAGCGAGTGGGACAAAGCCCTCCAAGAGACCTGCATCCAGCAGGTGCCTGGAGCGCACAGACTCAGCAGTGCTGCGCCGCTGCGCTTCTTCCTTTTCTCCTGGTTGTCAGCGATCCTCCGCGGTCCCCGGCTCCTCCTCCGTACCAAGAGCGAACACTTTGGGAATGAGCTCCAGGGAGGGTCCACGACCAAGGACTGCTTACCTGGAGCTGGGTGAAGAGGGCGGGGAAGGACTGGGGTGGTCCCCTCGGAGCCACGGCGGGAGGAGATCCAGCGGGAAGTCCTGGGCTCCGAGCTTCAGCCACGCAGCCGCCAGCGCGAGCGCGAGTGACGGCGGCGGAGGAGACCGCGACCGCGGAGCCGCAGCAGTGGCGCTGGAGACAGACACGCCTCCTGGCGGGGGTTCCTCGCCTCCTGCTTTAAAGGAGCCGCGTTTCTTTCCCGCAACTGATACTAGCTTCAGGACTCCCAGGCCCACCTGGGAGCAGCGCCATGCACTCCTTATTTCAAGACCTCTTGTGGGAGAATTCTGGGTGTTGACCTTCTAGTGCTTCCAGAACACTCGGCACTGATTTCGTCCCCTACCAGCACATCCACATCCAAGGATAGGGGACCTGGGACCGAGAAGTTCAGAATGATAGTGGATAAGGTAAAAAGGGCCAAGGAAATTAATTGCTTGCCTCTAAAAAGCTACATCGGGTATAAGAAATTTTAACCTGTCTGCTTCTAGGTGGCCTCTTTTATGCTGCCCCGAAACCATGGCAACAAGACTTCTCTGTTGCCAACATCTGGAGAGCAGCTGATTGTCTCCAAAGTGACCCTTTTGGTTCAACTACTGCATTTCCCTTTGAGATTTGTGGGGATCATCTTGATCTATGCTCCTACTTCTCTCCCATGGCAGGGCAAATGAGTTTCTGTGACTCCTGGTCGCTGTCCGCATAGAAGAGGACTTCCAGCAGAAGAACGCTGACAGGCCATTTCTGCACCGGTCTAACCCCTTAATACCTGCTGCTCCTCTCCCCAGTAGATCCCTGAATGCTGAGGGAATTTGAGACTTAGCAGGCACAGAACCTGGGATCTTCTACTCCACGACTGGGGAAAAGTGCATATATAAGAGAGAGGTTTATAATGGGCAGTGAGAGGGGATGCCTGAGTACTATGGTCTTCCCTTAAGCTTGCTTCACGGAGTCAGGGGTGGGGGCAGGAGGCAAGGAGCACACCAGTCTCCTGCTGCATCTCTGAGGGAGCGATTAGCTTCCGCAAACAATCCCGGATTAGCGCTCCTCTGGGTCAGAAAAGTCAACATCTATTCAATACCATTGCTACTTTATCCTCAGCCCTACAATATTAACTAGAGTGGAGACTTGGCAGTTCCCTCCAGAGTACATTGGTGAGCAACTATTCTCGAGGAGGTTTAAAAGCGGCCAAGCTTGAACAGGCTCTGCACATCCGCCCAGGAGACAAATTTTAAAGGGAGTGTACTAGGAAGAAGGCCAGGTGGAATTCCTAGGCGCTGTGGATGCTGGAGGCAGCTGTAGTCCCTGTGGCAGACCAGTCTAATTCTGAAGGTCTGGAAGCAGAGAAGCTCAGGTTTTACCCTAGAGTAGCCCAACAGGCTGCGGAGGAGCGTTTGTCCCTTTGCTGTGATTTTTGCCCTGAAGTCATTGCAACTCCTGAAAATCAAATTGAGTAAAATCTGTTTTTCTGACCTGTCTCTGTGTTGTCACCCCTCACACACTGGGCTAGCATCTGATTCAGTCCTACCAAAATCCTCAGTCTCTGCCACCACATTGTTCACCATCCCAGGCTTCTACCCCCCCCCCACACACACACACAAACACACATGCACATGCATACACACGCACCGCACATTTACTGTGCTTAGCTGCCTCTCCGAGACTTAACACACACATGCACATGCATGCGCGCCTGCCCACATGCACACACACACACATACACACATACATACACACACATCACACACCTACTGTGCTTATCTGCCTCTGGGAGACTACCGCTTAAGTTAGGCAGAGATGAGTTCGTGGTATGGAGAGCCCGTTTGTGGTTTAAAGATCCCGGGGATGGCTAGAAGGTTCCTGTAATTAAGGCAACAGCAGCCTTGTTGTATGAAGAAAATAAATAGTCAATGACTCCATTGTGCATCCTGGACCGGACAGCACAGACGCGTGACCAGCTCCAGGCGCCTGGGCTCCAGCTGCTGTGACCTGCAGGCTAATAGGCCCTCCAAGCACAGCACAGATCGGGCCAGGCTCAGGGAGAAGAAAAAAAAATGCTCCATTCAGTCCCATTGCCCGATGAGAGTAATGAAGACAACTTGTCTACTAGCCAAAGACACTCTCATGTCATCTTAATATCCACACACCCTCTTTCGGGGAGGGAGACAAGGCACCTGCCCGTAGATCCAAGAGAAATAGCTAGGTGAAAGGCATCAAGCTGCTTGCCAGTGGATCTGAGTCTATGGAGCAGGGACACTGTCTTATTTCATTTTAAGTATTTGACAGACAGGCTGGCATGAGGGTGCTGGAATCAACCTTCCCCACTGATGTCCTCTGTCCCACATTGTATTTGGAGATGGAAGGCTTATGGAGTAATCTTTTTCAGTGAGTGTGTGAACTTAGAATGTAGTTATGGATTTCCTTTCCAGGACAAAGCTCACACTTACAAAGGACTATATAAGGAGCCCTACCAAGAGCAAGGCAAAAGGGGGAAAGAGTTGAGAGAAGAATGGAACAAATCAAAATTATGCATGTGACAAATTTATTTCTTTAGAAGACAAATGTCTAGATTCTAAAGAAAAACGGAGACTGACAAAAGAGCATTATAGTGTAAAGTTCACTTAACCCGTCTAAACCCTTCTCCTGCTACAAAGATATTTCTTATAATTTATTTTTAAAAATCCATTAGTGTAGTTGTTTTATTTATTATTGTTTTTCTATGATCGGTGGGGAGCCACAACCCAACTCCCAAATAAATACATGGGGACTTATTCTTACTTATGAATGCCTGGCCTTAGTTTGACTTATTTCTAGCCAGCTTCTTAACTTAAATTATCCTGTCTATCTTTGGCTTCTGGGCTTTTACCTTTCTCTGTTTCTGTATATCTTTTTTTTTTCCTTCTTATTCCATGTCTAGAGGTATGGCTGGAAGGCGAACCCCCAGCATCCTCTTCTCCTCCTTTTCTCACTCCTTTCTGTTCGCTCTTCTTTTCTATTTATTCTATCTGCATGCCAGCCTTGCCAATTTCTCTCTCTTGCTAACTATCTATTGGCCATTCAACTTTTTATTGAACCAATCAGGTGTTTCAGAAAGGCAAAATTATACAGCTTCACAAAGTTAAAAAAATGCAACATAATGTAATATATTTTTACATCATTAAATAAATATTCCACAGCATAAAAGAATGTAACACATCTTTAACTAATAATCCACAATATATGAGTTAAACATCTAAGGATTTACAGTCTACTTCCATTCTAGAAACGATAAAAATTTATGCCTTCAGTTGCCCTATGGGCATCTTCCATATTTGGAAAGGTCAGCCAGTTCCCAAGATGGCTACAGGACCACTCCATACCACCTTTTGACTACTCAAGGAGCTCACTGTTGATTTATTTTGGTGTTTTCTCTTTGTTTTGTTTCAACCTGGCTAAGTTACCTTGGATGCAGAAATGAAAGGTGGTATTTTGCATCATCTTATCCAGTGCCATCATTCTACAAATAGTAAAATCCAAGCTGACAGGTAATAGAGTGGCTTGTTCAGAATATGGCAGAAATGATACTGCATTCTCGCAGTGCACAGCAGTGCTAGTCTGGTCAAATAATATCACCTGACAAATGAGGAAATTATGATGAAAATGTGCATTTAGAATCAGAGTTCGTTAGTGACAGTTGCAAGACTAGAGACTAGCAATTCTGATTCTCACCTAATTCTTAAGATTCCTTAATACCTCCTCCCCTCTCTCCATCCCTCACTCTCCCTCCCTCCTTGCTCTGTCTATTTATTTTTTTGGTGTAATTGGACATAAATTATATGTAACTATTAATGACTTACATAGGCCTAGTCAAATATTATCTTGATGGATGGGATTTTTATTCATTTTCTCAATGCCCTTGGATACATTAGTCCAATACATACTATTACTTATGTTCTAAGGTTCTGGAAAAAATAGCAATGAACACTTTTTTTTTGAAAATGTCCCTCAATAAGAGTTTGATCTATACAGCAAAATAGACAAGAAAATAAGTAAGATGTAAGATAAGAAGGAGTATTGCAGAGAAAAATAAAAATTAGTAATCAAAGCAGGGCATGGTGAGAAGGCAACAGTGAGGAGTATGGTATTTTGTGAGACACAGGACATAGGCATTGTCTTCGTGCTTAGTTGGCATTACAGTGGTGACCTGAAAAGTGATAAAAGGGTGTAGTTGGAGGGAAAAAAAGTTCTAAGTAGAAAAAAAATAGAAACTAGAAAGAACTGGAAGTCAAACCATGAATAAAGCGTTTAATGAAGAGAAAAAAAGGAAAAATAAAATAGAAATCAGTTCTCAAAGGTGAGGCATGAAACTGATAGGGATTCCAGAGAGGAGCAGAGAGTCATAGTCATGTCCTGGGCAATCTGTGATTTTTCCCTGGTGGCAACATTGATGGATTGTAACCACAGGAGAGGTACAATGTGACACATAAAATGAGGCACCTTTTCTGTTTTACTAAGACAATATAGTCATAACGAAGTTCAGAGTAGAAGCAAAGCAAGCAAGGAGGGTACTATTCTATTTTTTTAATATTTATTTATTTATTATGTATACAGCATTCCTTCCATTTATGTCTGCAGGCCAGAAGAGGGCACCAAACCCCATTAGAGATGGTTGTGAGCCACCATGTGGTTGCTAAGAATTGAACTCAAGACCTTTGGAAGAACAGTCAGTGCTCTTAACCTCTGAGCCATCTCTCCAGCCCCAGAAGGGCACTATTCTAACAACCAGTAGAGCCCTCACTGCGGAAGAAGACATGAAGATAGTGACCGATGTGAAGTATATTTTAAGATGGGGGAATTTTGCAGATGGAACAAATAAAGAATAACTCCAAATTTTAATCTGAGCATTGTTACTATTTTTTTGAGATAAAGAAAATACTAGAATAGGTTTGGCAGGAATCTAACTGAATAGTAAGTGAAAATTTGAATACACTCTTGTCTGGCTTTGGACAAAGACATACTAAAAAGACAGACCTACACCACAGGCTAGGAGTTCAGAGATGAAGTATGTATTTTGCTAGCTATCACGTTGAAGAGATAGCATAACAG